GGTTTTAACCTAAGGACTTGGAATTCCTGATTGATCAAAACCAAGGCATCACAAGTGGTTATGAAGCAACAAATGTCGATAAATGACGTCGATCTGAAAGGTATGGCTCCAATCTGGATGCGCATCGATCTATAATTCATGGAGGCTAGCAACAACAATGGCGATGGTGTGAAGCTTTGTGATGGAGCTCTGCATATGATCCATGATCTAGGTATTTGTTTGGTTGGAGAAAAAATCATGGTGAGAAAATCTTGGGAAAAATAATTCGAATTTCATGGTAAATCTGGGAGAATTTGAATGAAAATTTTCTTGCTTTGTGGTATGTTTAACTAGATATTTGTTTGGTTGGTGAGAAAATCATGGGAAAAAAAATTCCAATTGGTTTATGGGGTTTTTATTGAATTGTTGAAGTTAAGTTTTAGATTTCATGTAGATGGAATTGGATTGAAGGTTATGAATTTCTTTTGCAAATTTTTTGGATAGCCTAGTTGTTTTGTTGCAAAGAAAATTCACGAAAAACTAAATTTGTTCTTTTAGTTTTTTTGGCTTGTTTTTCATGTGATTTCCCAGGACCGGCGGGTTTGGAAATTCTACCCCTGGTCTAAAATTCCGGGAGAATTTCCTGATTTCGGCCAAAGTTAAAAATCCAAAGAAATTGAAAAAAAAAATCAAAAACCAAAACCAGGACCTAATGGAGCCTAAATGCATTTAAAATTCACCAACATAAACTAGAATTGAGCATGTATATTCAAGATTAAAGTGGAACAGTACATTCAACCAAAAACCCATCACCAAATACTTAAAATGAACAAACAGGCACGTAAAAGGCACTTTGTAGGTCGTCATGCTTCCGGGTACACCGTTTTGGACTAGTCCCAAAGGTAAAAACCTGAAGACGCCTATTACTTGTTTGGATCTGGAAGTTACCTAGCTAAGGGAGACCAAAATGTCACCAGAATCCGGTCGAGATCTGTTGCTCTTTCGCTTCCAAAACCTAGGAGAAGTTCAAAAATGGACCAAAAAGAACCCTTGAAAGCATCGAAAGAACCCCTCTTTTTGTTGCCTTCGACTGCTCTCTTATTAAATTTATTAAAATTACCAAATCATCATTTTTTTTCCATGTAGTTTTTCTGAAATAAAAGTGTTAATTCGTGGCAAGTTAACGTGTTAGCTAGGCACTTCGATCGATTGAAGAACCATTTGGGTTCTGAAAAAATAAAGTTTAAGGATGGTTTGAGTGTTTTTTGAAGTTAAATGACGAATTAAGTTTTGAAATGGAAGTTTAGGGACCAAATTGGGTATTAAACCTTACAAATCTTTTTGTGATTGCTGATGTACGTAACTATATATTAAATTATATTTTATTTTTACCATATTACTGTCAGGATGGACCATTCTGGCGTTCTGCATGCGTTGCCGATTTTGATTTGTCAAAAATGAACAAAAAAGTCAAAATATTAAAATTGTACGGTGGATTCACATTCAGCCAAATTCATAATCAAAGACTTGGAAACTTCCAAACAATTTAAAAAAGAGAATAACTTCTTGCAGGATATGTTCATGACCACATAAAAATATGATAAATATATATAATTTTAATTGGTTTAAGTTATTGATAATTATAGTAATATTTTTAATTAATAATTTATAAAATAATTAATAATTAATAATTATTTTTAATTTAAAATTAATTTATAAATTAATATTTTAAATAATTTAATTAATATTTACAAATTAATAAAATTAATTAAATCAGAAAAAAGTTATGTAATCTTAATAAATATTTATGTCGACATGCCCTCCATTCTGGACCGACGATCATGTTTTTCCACGATATTGCCCACTAATGAATTATACACCAAGCATATACCATCAAGATGGGTCGGTCCACTAATGTCAATAGAAAATTGTCAACTTCATCGTAGGGTTGCTTATCGCATCCTCCATTCCTTTCTCATTTTATATAATTCACATTTTATATTCAAAGTGTCAATCAAATAAAAATATTTATATATTCAAAGGGTCAAGTTTGTGACGACCTGTATTTAGAATAATAATCTCGATTAGAAAAAAAGAATAGCTTTATTGATAAATAAATATTTTTGTAGGTTAAGTCTAAAATTTTTTAAATGCACAAAATCATGTAATTAAGGGGAGTGCTTTAAATTTGTCTAAAACAAAATTAATCTTGATGTTAATGTGGATAATGCAGATATATGTGTATATGTTATAGGGTCAGTTACGTTATTATATTCCTATTATATACTTGTATATACCATTGATTACCCTATAATGAGAAAGGTGATTTCTAGCCTATTTACTAGTTTATGGTATTAATTTGGCGTATAAATTAAAGCTTTACATTGTAATAATAATAGTGAATTTGATTCTTGTTCCTCTTACCCTCAACTCTTCAATATAATAGAAAAAACTGAGAGAATGAATAGAATGATTATAAAAATGGTTACTTGTATACATACAGTTGATTACCCTAATGAGAGAGGTAATCTTTGGCCTATTTCTTGCTTTACTAGAAATGTATAAAAATTAATCTAAAAACACCATGATCTTCTAAATTAAATAAGTAAAAAATTATGTTCCTTAATTAGCAAGTTAATTAACCTCAGGTTGCAACTTGTTGGGTGGGAGAGACCGCCACCGCCCTCGGCGAGCCATAAGCAAAAAAATTGGCTTTGATTTTTTTTTTTTTATAATAATTAAAATCTTATAATCTTGCCAACAACTTAGATAATTTAATAATCATTTTCTTTCGTTGGAAGTAAAAGACTTTAAATTCAAGTCGCATGATATGTAAATAGAGTGAGATAAAAGATGAGAGATAATTGTCTTCCATTGTCCAATCAAAATATAAAAAAAAAATCTTATAATCTTGGTACAATATTTTTCTAATTAATTTTTTTTAGTAAAAACTGTTTTAATAAAATCAGCCCCTAATAGTTGTACCAGAAAAAAAAAATTACTAATCGAACTTCATACCATTTTTTTATTTAGATTATCATATAATTTTTTTTTTGTACAATGAGAGATAATTATTCTTTATTTTTTATTCTATCCCACTCACATGCCATGCGACTCAAATTTAAGATTTTTTATTTTCAACGAAAGGAGATAATCACTGATTTATTTAAATTATTGATAGTTTATCATACTCATTAAAAATGATAGATTAGAAGAATTATAGCCAATTTGTTCCACTTCACGTTGCTGAAATTCTCAGATTGATGGATTAAAGTCTGTTTTTTTTTTTTTTTTTCCTTTGAAAATAGGCAATGGATATTAAAGTCTTAAACCATAACAACTGAATTAGCTTTGTCAGAGCACTAGGGTTACATTTTTCAAAATCCTAAAAAATCCGTGATTGCCGGGAAAGAAACTTCATTATTGAAAAACGAAACAGAATGCTCAACTAGTAATTCCAACCTTGAACAATTAATATTGATAGGGTTGTGACGTGGTCCTAACATCAAAATGATTGGAACGCTCGAAAAAATGTCATGGTGGTTTCTTGATATTTTATTATGAAGATGGGCCCGGTTTGAAATACCAAACTAATTAGTAGTAGGTTGGGGAGGAGGCCCTCAATCCACATGATTTGCTCGAATTTAGATTGTTTTATTACTATTTTTCTTTTTCTTTTTTTAAACTAGTGTAATTAGAGGATTGAAAATAAAAATAACTAAAGATAGTTCAAAAAATCAAGATATCCTGACGTTCAAATATTCATCACAATTATTTTTAAGTGGATTTCAAAAATAAAATTCACTTACGGATTCCAAGAATAAGATCCACTTACAGATAACTGTAATAGACATCTTGAATATTAAGATATCTTAATTTTTATATTTTTGATAACTAAAACTTAAATTTTAAACTTTTAAATATCACCACTTTTTCAAAAAAATTATAGCAATTGGGTCAGCATGCTAGTTGGCAAAATTAGATTGTCGTGGGGCAACATCATTTAATGTGGTTGCATTTGTTAGGTTCGCACTTTATTGACATGAATTAATTGAACATGGGATGTAGTTAACTAATCACTAATATTATGTTTGGTTTAAGGAGGGATGGGAAAGGGAAGGATTTTTTAATTAATTAAATTATAAAATTTTTGAATATTACGATTTGATTAGTTAAAAAATTATTTTCTCCCCTTCCTTTCTATCTCTCAATTCTTTTTAAACTAATCATACTACAATATAAGATTTTGTTTAATATGGTTATAGTTTTTTATTTTTAGTTTTTAAAAAATTTTACAACAATTGAAAACTAAAACTAAAAATGAAATCTAACAATTTGTTAAAGACAAATTTTAATAAATAACTAAAACTGTAAATTTTGTTAGTAGTATTAAAACTATGAGTTTTTTTTTTCTAAAGGATGTATTTATTGTAAATTTTTACCATTAATTTGTATAAAAATTATAAAAATAAATTTTATTTTCAAAAAAATTACCATGAAAAATATTTTAATTAGATAATTAATAAAATTAAAGTTAATTTTTTCTTTTGTTTTTCCACCATGTGCTTTAAATCACATGTTGTAGGTATAATTAATATATATTTTAGAAACGAGTCATCTATTTTTTTATTTGAACCATACAAAACTACAAAATATAAACCCTCAAATAGAGAAAGAGTGCCTAATATCATGGGTTTGTTTCCAATCCAAACGTTAACATTGTGCAGCCCACTATAATATTGGCTGCAAGGTAGACTTTGTGCAGCCCACTATAATATTGGCTGCAAGATAGACTTGACAAATGGGCGGGTCAAGTTAGGTTAGGGTCAAGTCACAACGAATCATAGGTTAAAATGGATTTGATTAAAACAGATCATAGATTAATGAAAGTTGATCATAACCCATTCATCATAGGTCACGATCAACTCGCAAATTAACCCAATTGAATTTTTTTTCCTTTTTTCTCTATAATTTGTACACATTATCAGCCAAAGAAATTTATTCAAAAGATTAAAAAATGAAATTTAACATCTTATATAAAAAAAAAATTTCCTATTAATTTAATAAAACATATTTATAGTTCCTTTAAATTAACTTCTCCACTTTCCTTCAAAGAATAATGCTCATCAAATTCGAGAATACCACACTTATAAGCTTCGATAGCAAAAAAAAAAAAAAAAAGCAGTAGTAGCATGACAACCAAAACACACAAACCCCATTAGAAAATATTTGTTTTGGTCATTGCTTTCAAAGAATTAATCAATTAAATGCATCTAAGTAAATAAATAAATAACGAATTAAAAAAAATAATAAATTAACAATTTTTTAATTTTTAGATGGATAAATGGGTCAAACCCGTTAACCTAATAGATCAACTCGTTATTGACCTGTGACCCGCCAAGTTCTTTTAATGAGCCATTAACAGATCACGAGTTATAAATATTTTACCCTAACTCATTTTAAATGGGCAAGCAATGAACGAGTTAGCGGGTTAAGTAAAAAATTACTAAGTTTACTGCAAAGCAATATTTGTTTAGAAAAATCTTTGATTTTTTTATACAAATTAATAATAAAAAATATAATAAATGCACCTTTATAAAATTGCTACTAAAAATATTTTTATTTTTATTTTTCTCATTATAGTTAATGCAGTGGGTTTGTTTACCCATACAAAAAAATAATAATAATAACAATAATAATACTAATAAAAGACAGCGAAATTTGTCTTCGGGTTTAAGGTTTAGATGGGCTGGACTCCTGTTTTGGGCAGAAACAAAATCCTCCAGAGCCCAGAATGGTATGATCAAGGCTAGCCCGGTTTGTTATTAGGCCATCCTGGTTTTTTATTAGAGGCCTTTTAACGACTCTTTTCCCGGGTTGGCGGTTGTCCGGTAAGTCGTAACACAGACAAAACACAAAATCGAAGCAGTATCGTCTCCAATGGTCTCCAAAACCCTTGATTCCTCCTGAGACGCTCTAGGGTTAGGATTTTTGGCGACAAATTCTTTGCCAGATCCAGAACAATCTCTGAAGGATCGCCGGCAGTGTCCTCGAAGATGTGGCACGAGGCTCGGAGATCGGAGAAGAAGGTGCACGATATTATGGACGCAGCTCGGAAGAGAGCGCAGAGACGGGCCATCTTCTTGGCCAAGAGGCGTGGCGATCCACAGCAATCCATTCAAGTGATTGGATCTCGCTGCCGCATCCATCGCGATGATGCTCTCTACCACGCCACAGAGGACGAGCAAGGCTTGTAAGCTATCCTCCAGCGTTACGTTTCATCAATGGTTTATTTCCTGTAATTGCTTTTTCATTGCAATTCTTATATATTTTTTTGGGAATTGCATTAGAACTCACTATTGCTGCACCTGATTTCATATGATTCTGGAAAGAAAATGCGCTGTTTATAGAAATACAAGCTGCTTCTTGTGTAGTTTTAGCTTAATTTTGACAGTTAAGCTGTAATTTATGTCTATTCCATCCAGAATTCTCATCAAAGTGATGTCAAGTTTCAGTTGGAAATTTTGCTAACAATCATTCTTAAGTTGCATCTTCTTGCTGGATAAATGTAATTTTATACTTGACTTGGTCGTTGACCTTGTTTTGCAGGATTCCTTGGAATGAGAAACAGGATGTTTTGATTGATAGGTACACACTATCAGTCTCATCTCTGTTTGTCTTTCTCTTATTTGTAAATGTAATTATTATTATTTCAGATAGTTTAATGACTGATCATGTGATCAATTCTCTTTGCCTAAGCAGATTTGATGGCCGTGCTCTTCTTGATTTTATAAGAGAGTCTGGGTTTCGACGTTTTCAAGCCCAGGAGAAGTCAGAAGAAGAAGAAGAAGTAGAAGAGTTTGTTAATTTTGAGCGTTATCGGGATTTAATTAAGCATCGGCGTAGAGGATGTCGGTACTTCTTTAATTACTGATAAATATCAGTTTTCTGTTCATCTTGAACCTATTTCTTGGTTATATTTACTTAATGAGAATGCAATAGAAGATGAGGTCATGCACTCTACAAATCAATAATTAGACTAGTGGTTTCTTCTTAGATGAGCTTTATGAGCTAAGATTTGTCTCAACAGTTACCGATGAGGAGGGTTTGCAACATGTGAACCAAGAGATGGAGGCAAAAGCTGCAGCACCGTTTGCTTCTGACAGGTATTATTTATTTATTTATTTTATATATAGTTTTTTCTGGTTCTGCTCAATATCCTGTCCCTTTGCTTCTAATTAAGATCCTGTTAGTTATATATCCCCACTGAAGATAAAATTCATATTTGGTGATGACCTAACCCTTCTAATATCTTAGCTTTTCTGCATGTGAAGATGTGTTTTGGAAGGTGGCGCTTGATAGGAAGTTAAAAGAAAGAAACAAGCTTGGATTGCATCTTAGATATCTTCTTTTGTGTTAGCTTGTTTGATTGGTTTGTTTTTTACATATGAGATGACATGCTTTGGTATAACTATACATGATATGCCTCATTTGATTCCTTCACAACAGAAAACTTTGTAGCATTCTGTCTGCTCTGCTACTCTCATGCTGATGTCCTCGGCTTGACAATCATGTTTTTTTGTTCTCTTACTCTCTTTTCATGCATATCTAGTAGATCTCAGCCAGCACAACCTGCAAACAAGGGTTCATATTCACAGGTTGGATTCTCATATGATGGAAATGGAAAAGAGGAAACACATTTTTCAGACGCTGAGGATGAGGAGGATGATGATGATGAGGAGGAGGATGATGATGAAGATGAGTTCAACAGTGATGACAGCAATGATGAAGGGATGGATATAATAGCAAAAGACTATGGTGTAAAAAGATATGGGTGGCTTGTTTACAGGGAAAAAAGGGCAAAAGAGGAGGAGAAAAGGCAGAAGGAACTGATTAAGGGTGATCCTTCAATTGTAAGTGCATAGTAATTCTTGGTTTTTATTACATTTCTCATTGCAATTTTCAGTCAAAGTGCTTAGATTGTTTATATTGTGTATGACTGGATCTTATATTCTGAATGTGTAGAGGAAACTAAGCCGCAAGGAAAGAAGAAAAGCTTCTCAGATAGAAAGGGAGAGAGAAAGAGAAACCACTTGGATACGGGGAACACGAAAAATTCATAATGATCCATATCGGTACAATATTTAAGAATCTTTCTATCAGAAATTGTACCTAAAAGCTAAAATTACTATCTCATGACATATGATGCTCTCTGTTTTGATTTGCAGGGAGTCTCGGCGAAGTCCAACTTATGATGCTTATCCACGTTCAAGGAGGTTTGACCTGTTGGTTTTTCTACACACTTTTATGGGGTACCATGGAAAGAGTTGCTGTGAATAATTCAGTGGTTTTGTATTTTCAGGTCAAGATCCAGGTCACGTTCATACTCCCCATCATACTCAAGACGTCATGGTCGTGGAGGGTTTTCTGATGATGCTCATAGAAGTAAACCAAAGACTCCTAAAATTGAGTATATAACTGAGTTTGGGAGTTCTAGCAACAAGGACGGACCAAAGCTTCAAGGATTTTCTCCACCACCATCTCCACCATCCCAGACCGATATATTGAACCGGTCGGAGCACTCATCCCTTAATTCGTGCAAAGATAGATTGGACAGTCTTTACTCTGCTGCGTCTTATGCCTATTTTGTTTCCTGAGGGAAACTTTCTTTGTTTAGAATATAGAATGGGCATAGGTTATCAGCATAAATGGCAAGAGTGAGAGGGAAGGAGGGTTCCCCTTTCAAAACTCATATTTTCCCTGAAATGGAACTTATGTGAATGCTTCCAAGTTGTTTGTGACTATTGAAATGTGCCATCTCTGAAGCTTATCGTTTCCTGCAGGCCATCATCTGGTCGCATTCTTGAGGCACTGCATGTTGATCCTGCTTCTGGTTTATCTCTGGATAAAGACAAGAGTACCAAAGTATTGAAACCAACAGCAAGGTAATGTTTTTGGGCCTGTCATGAGACATCTTGTATCTGTGCCATGCTTCAGGTTGCTTTGTCCAGCTAAATGGTTATTCTTATCTAGATAAAATGCTTTCTTACCATTTTCCATTATTTTTAATGTCTTTGATGTCCTTTTAACAGCACTTCTCCAGCATTTGCAAAGTTGTCAAAAGCAAGTTCTTCTGGGGGGCCCTTAAAACAGCCACAGGGGGAGAAGAAAGAAACTCCTCAGGAGCGACTCAAAAGGATTATGAATAAACAGTTAAACAAACAAAGTATGACTACAATGATATATGATTTAGTTCTGAAGCTGTTCGTCCAACAATTTGTCTTCGTTGCTACTGCAGTCAGAGAAATTAGATCTTCCCCTTTTGCCCAACTTTTAGTTGTTGCTTTAATGCTACTCTAGCCCTTTCTTTTGGGGGTTTTGAGGGTTGGGGTTAGTGCCTTTTATATTTGTGACTAATGTCATTCATTTTCCTGCAGTCAAAAAAGATACTGCTGCTGAAATGGCTAAAAAAAGAGAGCAAGAGCGCCAAAGACTGGAAAAACTTGCAGAAACAAGCCGAGTAGGTTGTAATAAGCATCGCAGCCACAGCAGGAGCTATAGCCGTTCTCCTCCTAGGTAGTAATTTATTGCAATAAAACATAGTCAGAGAATGGTGAACATTTTAATGGCAAATTCTTCTTTTCAGAATTTTGAAGTCATGCATTTAGTAGTCATTAGAATTAATCTGTTATGAATTTATGTCTGTGAGAAATTTTATGATCTCCTGCCTTCTAATCAATTAGAGAATTCAGTAACTCATTTTCTCCTCTTAAATCTTTCACATTAGTGATTATTGTAGCTTAGGTTTACATTTTGGCTGTAAGACTGTAATTGAAATCCTTATCTGCTTTTCTAATTAAAACAATACTCCTAGTGTTGTTCATACAGAAGTAATCACATGAATTTTTGCCATAACTGTGGTGGTTAAATTATTGTGACCAAATTTTGAACCATAGTTTAGACCAGTGATCATAGACCTGCCTCGCTTTTCTTTATTTATCTCTTGTCTTTTCTGTTGTTTTTGTGTTTATATATGTTTTTCTGATCCCCGGTTGGTTTGTTGTTATTGTTATGGAGACAACTCATTTCAATAAAATATGCTTCATGCAGAAGATACCAGCGAAGCAGAAGTCCAAGTAGGAGCAGGACTCGAAGGTACCATTCTCGTTCACGTTCTCGTTCGCGTTCCCTCTCTCATTCTCGTTCCCACTCACCCAGGTGCATATTCTCTCATGATTTTCATCTCTGCTCCCTTGTTATGTCATTCCTAAGTGTGATTTTTAACTTTTAACTTGCAGGGTAAGAAGCCGTTCCAGACACTGATGGATATTGCCACAAAGATCGCAGGCAGGTTCTCTCCTATTTATTGATGCAAGCTTTGTGATTGCTGGTTTTGTCCAACTCTACCAAACTATTGAAGTCCAGGGGCTCTAGACTAGTTAGTAATGTTTGTTTCATTGTGTTAATTTTGTTGTCAGCTTTACTTGTGTATTATTGTAAATGAGATTTACTTAGATTTTTTTTGTAGCTTTGAAAAGAATTTTACCCTTAAATATGATATATTATCCTTTGCATTTGGGAGTTGAATTCAGACACTGTAATTTCCCCGTTAGATATACATCTAAATGTGCCATTGTCCCACCAATTTCATCCATGGTATTTTTTTCCTTATAGTGTCTCCTGCTAATTGCTATTCTCTTATCATAATAGTGATTCCTCAGGCGGATGATAGTGACATGATACGATCTCTATCTGTGAAGGACTTGGTTTAAGGCTTTGATGAGGAGTCTCAGGAGCTATGCCAAGAAAAAAAGTGTCGTGAGGAGGCAGGTATTTTTATGTTGGGGATTAGGCCAGCCATTTAATTTAGGAGACTTGGACAACGTGACCTTTTGAGATAAATTAATTGAGGTGAGATGCCTTGTAGTTGTTGGACAACGTGATTGTCCCACATGTTTGCACATGTCGAAAGTCGAACCCAAGTCGAACCCAATGTGGTGTCTCTGAAACTAAATCTGAAAAATAGCATTCGAATCTCGAGCCAGAACTTCTAGTTTCTAAATTTTCCCTCTATAAAACACACATTGAGACATATACAATGCATTCCAAACCCCTCACGTTAGTCTGGACATTACCAGTGGCTAACACGATTTGACACGAGAAAATTAAAGCAAGAACATTGTTTGCTTAAAGAGCAACCGGCGCTGCTAGAGTGAGCAGCCTTCTAGTCCATGCTAGTCTTAAAATGATCTACCCACGCCGCACCACTGGCAGGCTACATTAATAGATTAGGTATGTTCGTCTGATCTCTAACCTGTCATTTGATCTTTGATAACAGATTCTTTGCCCCCACGAATGCTTCCAAAACTTAAACTAGAACTAACCCACTTTTCCCACACCCAGCAAAAGTTTAAACGAAAGCTGCAGCAAAGCTACATTCGTTTTTAAGAGAAGGCATCAAACCGTATGTGTGTGTGTGTTGTGTATAGGTAGAATCTAAGTTGCCTTAGATTAGGTATCTTCTTACAGTATTTCTTTTTGTGTCTTTAGTTCTCTTTTATGTCCAGCGTGCTACCTGGGATTTGTTGGCTATGATTATAGTCATTATTAAAATTATTAAAAATTATTAAAATTTTATTTTATTTTAATTAGTAAAAATATTTAATAATTAATAAAATAATTAATAATTATTATTTAATAATTAAAATTAATTTATAAATAAATATTTTTATAAAGATATAACTAATTTTTTTACTTAAAAAATTACATATTAATAAAATTACAATTAAATAAATAATTTTAATCAATTTAATAGTGATAATATCCACAATTAAATTTGCACTTCTTGGTTTACAGCTTCGAAAGCGAAGGGCAAAGGTATGAATGGAAACTTGCATTTCAACACTTTTATTCACGTCCTTATCAAAGGCACGCAGAAAGAGATTCCTAACCTTACCTCCTATCCGTTCAGATTGCCGAAAAGATAACCACTTTAACGATGTTCCTGCTAACTTACTTTAATCTCACTTCAATCCGCAATGATTTGCTAAGACGACCTCAGTTTGATTATCACCTCCTAACTCTTGGTTTCTTTTTCATGTGTATGTGATACTTTGGCTCAATATTTAAATGTGATTTTCAATTTAAAAACATGAAAGGATCCACAGGGGGAACACTAGGAGTCTCAAGTAGATCCTTATAAGATTTATTCAAATGAAAATGTTTAGAAATTATTTCATGTCTAAGTGAAAATTTTACTTTTGCACCCATAAAGATATACTTTTAATATATTTGCCCCCACCAAATAGAAATCTTGAATCCTTGTCAATTTATAAATTTTTTTGTTCAAGTCATATGTTATAAATTCAACAAGAAAATTCTCTTCTTTTTAAATCTCACCTAATTCATTTTAGAGTTTAAATTCAATATTTGCTTTTATACATGTAAAACTTTTAATCGCTTATACATTCCCTAAGAACTATGATTTTTATTAGAAAGTTTTGTTATGATATAAAATTATGTATATCATCTCTGCTTTTACTTATTTTCATTCTTTTATTAAAAGAATCTTACTAATCAAGTGCCTTCTTTGTAGGCGGCCTCCTAAACAACTCGTTAATTAATTGAATATATCATAATTAGTTTGAATTTTGTTTATAGTATTGATTAATTTAAACCACTTGACCTTAGGCTTTACCCTCCATTATTATTCCTACAAGCCCTAGCAAAACGCACTTGACTTTGTTTATTTATGTGGAAGGTTTGATGAAGCACATGGGGTGGCGTACCTCATTTTGACAATCTTTTATCCCAAGTACTGTCTCTGTAAAATAATAAGATTTTGAGTAGGTTGGATTAGATCCTTGGCCTACCAAAATAATATTATCATTCTTCTTAGCAAGCACATAATCAATAAATTATTTGCACTAATTTTATATTTATCATTACAATCACCACTCACTTGTGTCAATTTTGCTCCTTTTTCCTTCTTGTCCCCTAGTATGTCCATCAGAGATCTCCACTCAAAAATATGATTATATATTAATTATATCATAATCAGATTCTCTTTTTTATCTCTGTCATATGTTTCCATGCATAAATAAATTAATCGAGCCAAAATGAGGTTAATATTCTTGAGTTTTAAAGGTAAAAGATAAAGAAAGATTTTCAGAGAAATATATACATAATATGAACGTTTCAACTCTTGACATTTAAAAATTTTAAATTAGAAATTTTTTGTTCGAACTTTACAATAAAAAACAAAAAAATTATATTATTTATGTTATATAACTCACAATAAGATGTAACAAAAGAGATAAAAAATCGATGCAATTAATAAGAGCTACAATGGTCATATATATAACTCTAGAAATCAAACTTTACTTGTATTGGACCCATGTCTCCTTTGATCAATTCATCCATTGTCTTGTCCTTTTGAAAATGGAAATCAAGAGATTGCTTCCTCATCATCTGAAATTGCACATAGTGGTGGCCACTAGCTAGTTAGAGAAAGAAATAGATCATTAATTAACCATAAAGGCATAAACATCATCTCGTGGGAGAGAAGAAAGGAGCTGGGGGTAGACGTCTAGACTATAATCGAAGTTCAAGAGGGGACATAAATGTAGGGTTGAGGAAGACAAGCGAGCAATATTGCCCACTACTTCTCTTGGGGAAGATTGATTCGGTTGATTTTCTTGTTTCTACAATGGACCCCACCTTGCCCACATCTTCAACATACAAGACATTGCCATTTCCCCATTGGATCTACAGAGGGTACTCTTTGGTTCCATGTTTGGACAACAATTCGTGGCTTCTCCCTTAAATTTGCCCTTTTTTGTTTGTTCTTGGTGAGCCCTGCCGGATGGTCCATTCAAATTTCTCAATAAGCCCTACAAATCTAACCCAACGGCAACAATTAACTTGTTAAGTTTACAAAAAGCCGTGCATATGATCGAATAAATGGGAAGTATCCCACAAAAAGTCTAACTCAAATATAATATGGTACTTCCATCAATTATTAATTTATTTTCAGTTGAATTTATTCGCACAATATTAAAGTCCAGTTCATTTGTATTAAGGTCATTTATTGCTTAACCTCGAAAGGTTGACTATGATTTATATATATATATGTTAAGCAAGAAAAATCTTAAGTAATTGATAGAAAACATATGAAAATGATTTTGGGAACCAAAATTAGATATACCAAGACAAAAGGTGATGTGATTTCTATTAGAATCAGAAGGTAAATATTATTCACAAACAGTATTTAATCATAAAACTAAAGAGAAAAAGAGGGTGTTTGGCAAAAAATTTAGAAATACTATTTATTTCTCATAAATTTAAAAATTTATTAAAAAAATTTTAAAATTATCTTTTAAATAAATTTTAAACAAGTTTCAAAATTTTTAAAAATTTATTTATAACTCACTTAAAATTTTAATTTTATTATTTTCTTTTAATAAAATTTTAAACTTATGAGACATGATAGCATTTTTAAAATAAATATTTTTTAAAGGGAATAGTAGTTATCCACCTTATTTTCTAAAAATTATAAGGAAAATTATTTCAAAACTCTGTCATTTCAATAAACTCTCATTGAAAAAAAAAAAACTAAAATACCTTATTTTTAAAGTATGAATTAGAGTATTTTTTTATCATTTCTTATAATGTTTCATTGAAATTATATAGTTTTGAAATAATTTTCTTCATAAGAACGATGATAGATGTACCCGCTAATTCGACACCTGACGAGACACACCCTAATAAAATTTAACTTAAAATAGAATAGTACTAGTTCATATATAATAAGAATACTCTTAACTCCTTTATCCATTCATCCACTTATTCTTATTTCCGGTGCCAAACACATGCCAAAAATAGGCAGAATCCTCAAATCCACCCTCAAAAAATATCGGTAGGAACACATCCACCCCTAAAAAAAAAAAACAGGGACAAATTGCCCCTCCAAATCATAAATCAATACAAATCACCCATTTTTCAACGTTTTCCGTTAAAAAATGCTGACGTGACAAACAGAATTTTGACGTTTTTTGTTGAAAAAGGAGTGATTTGTATTGATTTATAATTTAGAGGGGCAATTTGTCCATATTTTGCCCCTCCAAATCATAAATCAATACAAATCACCCATTTTTCAACGTTTTCCGTTAAAAAATGCTGACGTGACAAACAGAATTTTGACGTTTTTCATTGAAAAAGGGGTGATTTGTATTGATTTATAATTTAGAGGGGCAATTTGTCCATATTTTTTTTAGGGGTAGATGTGTCCCTACCGATATTTTTTAAGAATGGATTTGAGGGTTTTGCCCCAAAAATAATACCCAAATTTGTTCTAGTTTTGTTCTGCATCATCTAAGTTTGGATTGAGCATCGAGTTGGTGGGAGTGATGACAACTAAGAGTTAGTATCGACCATGACTCTTGAAATGGCCCAAGCATAAACAAACCCCAAGAAAAACATAAAATTATTCTTTTTATTGTGAATTCCCTAAGAAGCAATGAAATTATGCAACCTAGTTGACTCACCCCAGCTACCCAACTCACCATTCAATCCATCATCGCCTCACCATCATAACTCATCGAATCAGGCATTGGAGAAGCTCTAATATGAGACACATTCAAGGGTCTATAGATATGAATCGATTTTCTACGATCAAAGTAGGCTAATCTTTGGTTTTCTCGTGAAGGAAAACAAGAGAGAAAATTAGAAAGGGGAATTTGGGAAGGTGCCTCAAGATCGCTTTTGAACCCAAGGCCCACAACATTTGCAGAAACCCTAGTCTTTGTGGAATTCCATTGGAAGTTGAATGCCTAAAAACTCAAAGCCCAAGAATAGTTATAAAACCAAAAAACCTACAAAACCCAAGTGGTCCTAACCCTAGCTTTTCCAACATAGGTGAG